CTTATCAGGGCAGAACTAATGAAATTTCAGCGCAATAATGCATTCAGTGTTATCGTATCTTGGTGAGCACTTCTAATAGCTTTAACTTGTTAGCTGGAAAGCACAAAAATGGTTTCCAAGTGTTCCATGTTTATAGCAAATAGGGCAGAAAAAACAATCAAGTGGTGCCTAAAATCCTTGTCAATTAATTTCACAACTAAATATGAAGCACATCAGGGATTAGGGAATACCCTTAACAAAATATATCTTCTGACCACTACACAAATCTTTCCATTGGTTTTCAAGAAAGATCCAGGGCTCTGTGACTGAATGGCAACAAGAATGATGAAGTAGGGAACTGTAGGATTTCCTCCAAATAAGCATTAATCAAGCAGCTACAGTTCCTGAATAATAACGCAGACAAGTGATAGTGAAAGGTAGGGTTGATCCAAAATACTAAGTCCCCAATCATCTCCTAGGCAGATGTGTGCCATACATAAAGGTCTGTAGGATAGAGAAGGCCGTGGGCAAACTTACAAGGTATGCCTGTGTCCCTGGGAGATCAATTACCTGAGTTTGTGATACGTTCAACTAGGGGCTACTAGGGACAGATTTCAGGGGGTCTGCAAACTTGGGTAGGGAAAAATGCATCTGTATTTTCACTAATCTCTAATGGAAATATAACATTTTCATCAATTATGAGCTGTTTTTAAAAACATTAATCTGAGGAAAAGTTTGTTCATAAGCTTCACTAGGTTGCCAAAGGGTCTATGATGCAAGAATGGGTAAGAACCCCTGCACTAAATACTTATCACATACATCCAACTGCTACTGACCTTGCAATAGTCATATATTCATTCTGGTCAATGGGGGAAGAGCACCCAGGTGCTCCTCATCTCCTACACCCAGCTTGATTGGCCAAAGCTTGCCACTGGGAATCCTCTCAGCTGACTGTCCAACACATTCAAGGATATTCTGCAAGCCTGGCATAAGCTCTGTCAACCAGTAAGAAAAGCACAAACCTTTGAAAGCAACAACTGGGCCTTTCACAACAAGATCTTAGGATATGTTACTCATCTGAGGAAGCAGATCCAGAGAGAGCCTGTGAGAGGTATTGCCATCAAATTGCAGAAAGAAGAAAGAGAAAGTAGGGACAGCTCCAGCCCTGAGGTCTCTGCTTTGGTTCAGGACATCACTGAGGTAGACCCTAATACCAAAGAAATGTCGAAACTCCTGGACTTTGACAGTTTGTCCAACCTGCAAGTTACCCAGCCCACAGTTGGGATGAACTTCAAAATACCAAGAAGAGCTATTTAATATTTATTTATTTTTGCTTTCTTTCCAGTAAACTTGGGAATACACCTTCCCCCACCCCCCAAAAAAAAGAAAGAAAGAGGGAGGGAGGGAAGAATGAAGGAAGGAAGGAAGGAAGCAAAGAATGAACTGAGAGCTGCAAGGTCCTCCAAGAGTACTGTAAAATTCAGTGCCATAGTGGACCACTAGAGTCGTTCAGTCTGCAGTCATTCACCTAAATGGTACCTGACTGCAACTCAAATGATTAAAAATTGATTATGCTTCCAGAAACAGGGAGACTGGGGTCCAGGACATCTATGTTGACATTTTCAGCTGATGATCAGCTAAGAAAGAAAGATCATCAGCCTAGATACAAGAGTATCCACCTTGCAGTGTCACAAGAGTAATATCCTTCTAATGCTACGTGAGCACATGAGTAGCTGAAACATAAGCAATATCCTTTCAATGTCATGTGATAGCAACACATAAGCACTATGTATTATATATTTATATGTATAGATCTATAAATATGATTTTCATGCCACTTCATAAGGTTAGTGTTTTAATAAATGCATCTGGGATTCAAAGGTGAGTCTGTGCTTATCACTTTTGAAATTACAAACCCAAAAAAAAGATATCCCGAGGACACAGTAATGCCATTCTTCTTTCTTATTACACTATTCAAAATTTCCTTTTTTTTGTTTCTGCTATTCCGTTTCCTTATCTGTGATGGATGACATCTGTTTATTGAGTCTAACTACCTTAGGTGCCTGTTTATGTCCCACCTACCTACTCTGTGAAGCCTGATTAAAAAATCTCCAGTCCAAGCTGATTTTCTTGTGTTCTATTTTTTATTTATTGCTTCTATTATTCATTCATTCATCCATCAAATACTGAGTTTCTATTATGTACATGGTACCCTGCTAAGTGAAGAGGGTTGGGTCAACTAAGTGGTGCAGTGGATAGAGCATCAGCCCTGGAACTAGGAGGACCTGAGTTCAAGTCCAGCCTCAGACACTTACTAGCTATGTGACCTTGGGCAAGTCACTTGACCCTGACTGCCTCTAAAACAAGAAAGATGGATAGATAGATAGAAGATAAATAGATGGATGGATGGATGGATGGATGCAGGGGGTTCCAGTTAGAATTTGCATTCCACAAAGAAACCCTTGCACTCTAAGAGCTTACAATTTAGTTAGGGGGGAAAAAAAAACAAAATCAGTGCTTTATTACATACTACAGCATGGCATAGTTGATAGAATGCTGTTTTGGAAACCAGGAAAATCTGGGTTCAAGTCCTGCCTCACACAGATACTATGTAACTCTGACCAAGTCACTTAACCCCTCAGTGTTCAGACAAAACTCTTACTTTAAGTTGCAGAAAGCTGCTGATTTACACTGGTAGAGGGAATGTCCTCATCAGGGAGTTTCCCATGCCAACGAAATCACAGATCTAGTCCTTATCCTCATATCACTCTCTAACAACATTTTAAGACATACACATATGGATCAGAGAATGACAGAGTAGATAAAATTGTGTAGATCTTCATTGTTTTGGTTTTTTTTTTAACCAAAAAGGAAGCTCTTTGTGAGCAGGGACTTTGTCTCAATGTTTTCTACATACCTATTCGTTTATTCAACAAATACCTATTGAGTTTTGGCCAAGTGTGAGGCCCTATACTGTGTACAGAGAAGCATAAGACATGATCTCTGGGTTCTAAGAGCTTTTAAATTAAGGAGATAAACTGCATGTCAACAAATAATGATAATATATGGACATACAGGCTACACTGTACACACACGGCCAATATGTGTGACTGAGAAGCAACATGGTATAGAAAAGGAGGAATGGCCTTGGAAGCACACACTGTTGTTGTTGTTGTTGTTTCAGTCATGTTTGACTCTTAATGACTCCATTTTGGGTTGCCTTGGCAAAAATACTAGAGTGGTTTGCCATTTCCCCCTCCAGCTCATATGACAGACGAGGAAACTGAGGCAAACAGGGTTAACTGACTTGCCCAGGGTCACACAGCCAGTAAGTATCTGAGGCTAGATTTGAACTAAGGAAGTTAAGTTCAGGTATGGCACTCTCTTCTCTGCACCACCTAGCTGCCCTGGAAGCACACAGAAAATGTAACAAATATAAGATGTGTGGCTAAGGAAGAGTAAGTCACTTAATCTTTTGGTGCAGCTAGGTGGCAAAGTACACAGAGTGCTGGGCCTGGAGTCAGGAAGACCTGAGTTCAAATTCAGCCTCAGAGACTTATTACTAGCTGTGTGACCCTAGGCAAGCCACTTGATTTCGTTTGCCTCAGTTTCCTCATCTGTAAAATGAGCTAGAGAAGGAAATGCAAACCACTCCAGTATCTTTGCCAAGAAGACCCCAATTGGGGTCATAAAGACTCAGATATGTCTGAAACGACTGAACAACGTAAGGGTTACAGGCAACTCCAAGACTATTAGTTGCAGACTTGTTGCTGATTTGTATTAAGGAAGGAGTTCCCCACACTGATGAAATCACAGGTCTGGTCTAAAACAAACAAACAAAAACTAGTGCTATGTATAGACATGGCTTATACATGTCCTAGACATGTTAAGATGAGTGAAAAGTTCACCATTGGCTAGGGTATTCAGCAAATGCATCGCAGTACAGGTACAATTTTAGGTGGGCCTTGAAGGATAGAGAGGATTTTGACCAATGAAGATGAAGGGGCACCTGTTTATTGGCTGGTTTTTATTCTTTTAAGAACCCCACACAGTAAAATGGAAAACAGACTCACTGCAAAAAAAAAAAAAGGATGACATGTGAGAAGTATTTTGATTATGAATAAGACCATAAAAAGGAATTTTAAAAGGAATATTTGTATCTGTTCATCTGAGCCTCCAAATGATAGTAGCCAGCTGGCTGAGAAAGAAACGGCATGGGGGAACTGGCAGGACAACTGTCTATCGAGATATTTATAGACATTTGAGCTACAAGAGCCTCACCTAAAAGACTGGAAGCCACCCTCAAGCTTTATTCAATACCAGTTTAAACATAAGAATAAAATATTCTAATTACTGTAAATTAAATACTCTTCTCTTACTGGACTCCTTTGGGGAAAAGGCACTATTTTAAATGCAAGAGACTATTATTATAGATTTCAGATTTAATGAGACCTGAGTGAATGTCAAGCATGGAAAGATTCTTGGCTATACTTAAACGTCACACTGCCAGACACACAACAGTCCCGCATTCCTAATCTCATTATAAATAACAGGCTTATCTGGGCTGGCTGACCTCTCTTAAATTTTCAAATAGGGGCCATAAGCTATTCATAATTAAAACTATTTCTTGCCTCTTTAATATTGAGATTTCTGGGCTATAACAAAGGAGCAGAATTTCCTGTATTAGGTATTATCTAATCCCAAGGATTCCATAGCTTTTTTTAAGATAAAAACTCCACAGGCTAAACTAAGAAACTAAGCTAGAGGTCTTTGGACCTGAACACAGGAAATGGAGCCTGGAGCCTTTAAAGCCCAGCTTCAGGAAAGCATTAGCCATCCTGGATTGCTGATGCTTTCTTCACTGCTATACCCCTGCAACCCAAAAACTCACCTTTGTTAGATAATGTCAACAAGTATAGTAGACTTGAAAAGTTTCTGATTCATAGGTCAACTTTTCCTTCCATAGTTTTATATCCAAAAGTTTAGAGTTTTAAACTGGTTGCAATAAAATGCCTCTTTACCTGTTGCAATAATAAACTGCATTATTTGGATCCAGTTCTATGGCCTGTGTATAGCAGTCCACTGCAGCACCATAGTTTTCCTCCTTCATGTGGTTATTACCTAAAAAAGATAGTTAACAATGTCACAAAATTGATACAAAATGCTGAAAGGAAATAGTTCAATATCTGAAAGACTCATATTAAACATCTCACCCACAGTGACTCAAAGGCGTTGTTCAATCTTTCTAGAGATAAATTGTGATGAACAAGAAGAAGGATTTATATGGATTTATAAACATCCTTTAACGTTTATCTCCTTTGATCCTCACAACAACCCTGGAAGGTTGTTACTGCTATTATCATCCCTATTTTACAGATGAGGAAACTGAGGCTAAGAGGGGTCAAGTGACCTTTCCCAAGGTCACACAACTAGGAAGTATTTGAAGTATGAATCAAACTCAGGTCTTCTCCTTCACATTTATACAGCATTTAAAGCAGGGATTCTTAAGCTTTTTGTTATCATGGATCCCTTTGACAGCCTGGTGAAAACTCTAAAACTTTTCTCAGGAAAGTGTTTTTTTAATAATTGAAAGAAATGATAAATTTCAGTTAGAGGTTAGAGAAAATAAAGCTGACTTTTTTTCAGTCAAAGTTCACGGATGCCCAAGAAATCCCAGTTTACAAACCCTAAGTATCATAAAATGCTTTACCTATATAGCCCTCATAAGGTAAGTATACTTTTCCCCATTTTATAACTAAAGAGGCAGAGGTTCTGAGAGGTCAGATGATCTGCCCAATGGTCACAAAGCCAGATTCTGAACCCAGATATCTCTCCTTCAAGTTCAATATTCTTTTTGTCACACTACATAAACCTTATCACATAATGTCACATATATAAAAAGCGCTTTAAATTTTACCAAGTGCTTTCCAAAATAACATTAATCTTTAGCAACATTGATATCTCCAAAGTCTCTTCATATATATATATATATATATATATATATATATATATATATGCATTACATTTTGACACAACCCTGAGCTTGGCAGGGTAGCATTACTCTTTCTGTTTTACAAATGATGAAACTGAGGCTCGCAAAGGCCAAATGAGCTTCCCAGAGTCACATAGGACAATAAGTGGCATAGCTGGGAATAAGCCTGAGGTCTTCAACCACCCAATCTGTATTCTTTCCATTATGTTGCTACTGAAAAATGTTGCTACATGTAAAGGAAATTCACTTGAATCTTAAGAAATCAACATTTCTATCTATACAACATAAAATCCTTTACCTTTAAACATAATCCAAGGTGGGGAGAAATTACTTAACAAACAGGGCTGGTTACAGACAAAATTTGGTATGTCCTCTTTTCTCTCAGTCTTTCCCAACTTCTATTCCAAGCTGCCAACCATCTCCTAAGAATCCCCAACTCTAGCTTTTCCCAAGCCATACTCATGCTCTGGATTTAGTCCCCTTACTACATCTTCTTCCCTATCAAAACTTAACTCTGCTAGTTCTTATTTTCTCTTTCTCTACTAGGTAATATGATCAACTCATTCAGGATAACGTATACTGGTTGGTGAGTTACTATTAAGAAGAATAGGCTGTCATCCCCATGGATTTTTGTTTTGTTTTAAATGGATCCTGCCATGTGTGTTGAAAAAAAAAAAAAGATGATCCAAGTAGATTGTTAGGTATGATTTTATCTCAGAATACATATTTTACTCATCTGCCTATACTCAGGACCTCTATTCAGCTCCTTATTTTCTGACAGAAGTATAACATATGAAAGTAACTTTTCTTCTTATAGAGTTATTTTTTGTAAGAATATTTAAATTTTAACATGAGACTTGCCAATCAAGTGCCTTAACAATAAAAGATAAAACACAAATGATGGATTTGTTATGGCAATGTGTGATTAGGATATTTTTAGGGGCTAGAGGGGCACTTCTTGAACCAAACCATCAGGCAACCACAACAATATTAATTCAGATGGATTAATAAATGGCTAAAGTAGTCAGCACAATAGTAAAATGAGTGTCCTTACTAGCAGAGCAATGTGTCCCACATCATTTAAGAAAAGCAACTGAAGGAAATCCAAACTTCTACCATATTTAAATTAGTGTCTTAAGAGTAAGAGGAAGAATGGATGCAAAGAGAAAGGACAGAAGATTTGTATTGCAAAATTTTCTTTAATTCATTTAAGTCAGAAAGCTCTCCTCATAGGTCTAATTGTTTGCTTATACATAATTATTCCAGGGAGTAGAGAAAGTACAAAATCTTATAGTCATACTGTTTAATACAACAATAATTAAGGAAAAAATGAACATTAACTATCTCTGAAATTACAATCTAAGTTAAAGAAAGGAGATTTAATTCACCAAAAAAATTTGATTTGCAAACAACCCCTTAGGATCACATGTAGGATATAATGTAAGGGACATTTGTCCTTGGGTCAGCTGGCAGAAGGAAATAATAGGGAACTTTCCCTAAGCTCACCCAAGCTCTTCTGAGGAAAAAAGGTTACTTCCATATGTTATAGTTAAGTTAGAAAATAAGGAACTGACTAGAGGTCCTGATTACAGGCAGATGAGCAAAATATGCATTCTGAGATAAGAACATACCTAACAATCTACTTGGATCATCTTTTTTTTTTTTCCAACACACATGGCATGATCCATTTAAAACAAAACAAAATGAAAATCCATGGGGATGATGGCTTGCTCTTCTCTGAATCCACAGCATGGAAAATGAAGGAAAAAGGCAATGTGGTGAGTTGATTCAAGTTTCCCTGCTCTTTATCAAAATAGAGCCTCCCTACACGGAGTCTGCTCAGTGTAATAAATGGGTTTTGGTAGAGGGAATGGAGACATTTCAGAAAGTCAAAAACAAAACCTCCAAATGGCAGGTGGATTTGGAGTTAGAGTCAGTCAGTCAATGAGCAGTTTTTAAGGATTTATTGTGCGCCAGGCATAGTGTTAAGGGTTGGGGATAAAAAAAAGAAAAGGAAAAATGAAGTCCTGTGCTTAGTGAGCTCACATTTTAACGGGAGAGACAACATGTTAAGTATCTAAATATGTACAAGTTATACACAGAATTAGAGGACATGAGTTTGAATACTGGGTCTGTCACTGACTATCTTATATAACAGTGGTAAGATAAGTTGCTTCATTTCTCTGGGCCTCAGTTTCCTCATCTATAGAAAGGGTTGAGCTGGATGTCACCAGAGGTCTCCTCTACATTAAAATTTATAATCCTGTAATCATCCATATGCCATCCTAATGAGGGCTATAGAAAGGAAAACAAGCAACACAGGATATGGTTCATTACCAAGCCATGTCATTTACAATCAAAATTTGCCCCAAAGATCGCACAATCAAATATAAAGTTCACTGAACCCACTCTGAAACATGACCAAGCTTGTGTTTGATGTTTGGAAATGCTAGTGTTAAAGGACTGATCTGTTTGACAGGGGATTGTTGAAAGTATATTGCAGTCTTTCAAAGACAAGTCAACCTGATCTTCTTCATCCATTGAACCCATGGACACAGGTCACTGTCCATCTGTGAGACTATTCTAAGACATATTCCCTGAGAGTCTAACATGACTTGTGTACCCACCCGCATAGCATAGTCTAGAAAAAAAGTCATTCTTTACTCATTGTGTTTTGCCTGTGAGGAACACTTGAATGGTAGTGGACCTCACTGAAGAAGCTCTATAGTTGTCTGATACTTGATACAATCACTATAATGTTAGAAATACCTGGATGGCCTCAAAATCATAGATTTTCACTCTTCCATTTGGACTCCACTACTCAGCATTCTCCATGAGAATAGTAAAAACCTGTGGCAAGCACATGTCTCCCTGTTTTATGCTTCACTTGATAATGATGATCTGTAGTGTACTGAATAATATACCTCATGGATTACTTCATTAAGGAATCTTACGTGGACTTAAAATATACATGAGAGGGCTGGAGAAGGAAATAGCAAACCACTCCAGTGTCTCTGCCAAGAAAACCCCAAATGGGGTCACCAAGAATCAGATGTGACTGAACAACAAAGCCTTTAGTATCTAATTTGTTTCCAGATTTTTTTGATCACACGTCATATCTCTACAAAATTTTTTTGGATATTTATATCTTCTTATTTATCTCCTCGGGATATATCCCAGTATGGTGGAATCTTTGAGTCAAAGGATATGAACTATTTAGTCATTTTTCTAGCATCATTCCCAACTGTTTTCCAGAGTTGTTGAGCCAATTTCACAGCTACACCTGCAGTGAATTGGCACGTCTGTCTTTTCATGGCTCTTTCAATGTTTCTTCATCTTTTCCTAAATAGGAATTGCATATATTGATTGAATGTAACCTCCTTGAGAGCAGGTACTATCTTGTGTTTGTATTTATATTTCCAGTGACTGAAGCATAATAGCTGTTAAATAAATACTTGTTGACTGCTTGCTATTTCAAAAAATATATATATACATGAGAGATACTTTGGAGGAAAATCTTAAAGGCTGAATTTTGCTTTATCAAGTCACTTTTTAAAAAATGAAACAACAGGTATCAAATTTTGGAGCAGTAGAGCCAACAAAAAGTCGATGCGACACATTTTTCTGGCCTGAGGAAACTTAAGAGGTAGGCAGGAGATGTCTGTAACACCAGGGTTGAACGGGATGTCCCAGTGAAGACTTCTCAGTGTAATTAAGGTAATGAGTTCAGAAGGTAGTGTGAGAAATGAACTCTCAGAAGTGAAGGTTCCTCAAAGGGTCAAATAATTCTTGATTACTACTTTCAAAATCCTCCCCCCACTCAGACCCTGTTTTTAAGCACTTAACAGAAAGAATAAGCCCTACCCCACACCCAACCTGAGCCCTTTGTCCCTGGCTTTGAATTTCGAGCCTGGAATGTAAGCCCCACTTTCCGGTTAAGGGGATAAGAAGAAACTTTCAAGCTTAAAACGTAAGCCCACCCCCAGTTAAGGGGGTGAGGGATAGTGGTGGGTGGAGACTTGTTTTCACGATGGGCGGAGATTTGCTTTTATAAGGCAGCTCCTGTTAGGTGGTCTCTCTCTCTCTCCCGTGTACTGGAAGAGCAGACAGCCATCTCGCGAGATTGTAA